TGTAGGAATTCAAACATCTTTTATGTATATACCTCTAGTTCAAGATGAAATACAGGATAGAGAAAAGCCTGGAAGTATTTCATGTTTAATAACTCAGCAGCTGTAATGCCCTGGCCCGCTTGGCAGGTTTAAGGGAAGGTAGTTTGATTTTCTCTGGGCAGTATATGGGAGAAATAACAAAAGTCTCAGGAGGTTCAATAACAAACAACTTTTTACCTGCAAACTTTAGGACATCCAGATAGAATATGGTACTCGGCAAAATTTCACTTGGCCAACTTTAAAACATACAGACAGAACAAAGATACTCAGCAAGACTGGATTTTTTGGCCTGGCTTACAATATATTTTGAGAAGAAGAAGGTAGGAGAGGAAAGAGAAAGAAAAAGGAGGGAGAGAGATAGATAGTCACCACTGTAGGATCAAGTATGGTCTCAGCAGCTTTTAAATCCAGTGTAACAGAGTGCTCCACGTAGCACATACATGTTGCCATCCTTTTATTCGTTCTGGTCGCCCGAGGCCCTCCCTAGGCAAGCCCATGCTAATTCCAGCACAAAATTACATGCCTGCACTTTACACAGAGCCAGAATGTTCCTGGAACCATTCTGTACCTTGCAGCAGTCCCAGGTGATCAACTGGCCCATTACCACCGACCGTGGGCTGACTTTTTAAATGTACATGCACTACGCAGCACAGTGCAGGAAGGCTCAAGGGGTGGGGGGTGCAGTGCACTGCCCCACCTACGCAGAGCTCACCCTGTTCCCCGACCACTTTCCCACCTGGTTATTTTGAGCCAGTCAGCTGTTCCTCTGGCCTCCTACAGCAGCTCAGTACTGCCAGTTTTACCTAAATAACTTTGTATCCTAACTTTACTTGAGTGTTTTCTTTAAGGGAGTTTAGAAAAAGACAAAGGGTTGTCTATGGGCAGATAGGACCCAAATCAGAAGTGTCTTATGGTGGTGACACTTCCTCTTCCAAATTTTTTTTTCTTGTGCAAGGGAAGCGCTATGAGACTGTGACCTGACCCTGAGGAGGTCTGTAACCTCTGTCTCTACAAACCTCTGTGAGCTTTTCTTCTTTGGACTGTTTCTGGCTAAGAGGCAATAGCACTATTTATCCCACCAACAACATCAGTGATTGAAGTTCCCTTGCAGATAGAAGTTGTTAGAAGAGATAAGATGTAGCTAGTAGCTAAGGAGTTGCATGAAGGAATATGCAACAGGCAATGTCCTGAGAGCAAGCATCTCCCAATCCTTGTGCATCCCAGGGAGGCCCAGAATGGAGCGACCCCAGCCTGCACAGTTATTATTGTCAGATAATTCAAAAGCATGGGACAGAACACAAATAAAGAAGGCAGATAAAATCACTCAAGGACTAAGACACAAGAACAGATACTCGAATGGTATGCAAGTTATGAAAGAAACTAAGCAGTCATCTTTTTTTTCTACAGTAAAGAAAAATATCAGGGCTGACTGTGCTGCCCTTACTAGCTTGGTATTCTGTGGATGATCCCAGTAGAACTTTAAGGGTTTAGTGCAAATTTCAGAAGGAAACATATTTCTGGAATGAGGTGAAGAAGGATTATAAGGGATAAAAGGGCAAAAATTCATAGGATTGGTTACTTCTGATGCTCTGAGAATAAAGAATAAATTCTCTGATTAAAAGTGTAGAGTAATTCCAGATAATTTGTTCAACAAGCAGGATAAAATCTAATGATAATCAATAGAAGACTCAGGTGACAACTGGGAGCTCCCCTCATAGAAAATCCTCCTGCTTTCTTCGAGCTATACCAGTGAACACTGGCAAACACTGGTGATGGGATGAACAGTTAGAATCAGGGAACATTATATATAGTAGGATTGTGTGAGCAGATTATTTTTTTGCCACATGCAAAATATAAAAGCTCAGATGTTCTTACACAATAACCACTGACTGTGCTGGGGTTTTGATAGCAATATCTTGTTACTTGCATATCTAAGTGCTTTTAAGTCATGGTAATGAACAGTGTGCTAACAATCAGGTGGAATGCCTTGTGCGGTTTCAGGTGTCAATCTCCCTGCAACCAGCCAATTAATTGCAGTAGGGAACCACAATGTGACCCACAGAAATCATCAGGAGGCATTAAGAGTAATTGGGTTTTTCACCTGTTATTACAACTAGCATGCTTAATTCTGAATGCTGGTTGGATGACGTGCTGGGACAGCATTGCACACAGCATTTGCAGAGATGTGCTTTCGACTAGGCTGTGTGAACGAAATTCTAGATTGAATGGAATTGCCTACAATCTGGATAATTATAGTAGCACTAATTAGGGTGTTCAGTGAAACGTGACTATATTTGGGTGACACTTTGGCTCAGGCAGGGTGTCTCTGGGGGACACAGAAGCGACAGCCATTGCAGTAGGGTGTGTTTCTCCGTTCTGCTTGCCGATACAATCCCTACAAGTGGTTCTTTCACATCAACTAGAACAACTTCCACTGGTATAACTGGTGAAGGATTAATCCATGGAAGGAAAAGACACTATGGTCTTGTCTCTTTTACAGACTTTTGGGAAGCTGGCATCCAATGCCCATGCCTTCTTTTGAGGCACAAAAGAATACTTCCCAATTTTAGCAGGCTCTGACTTTATCTAGGTAGTAAAAATCTGGCTCCTCGTTATTTGTGAATGTTAATTGTTCCTTGATGGCGAGTTATCAGGGAATTATTTCATAAAAAAACCTGTGGCCTGACTCATCCACCCCTCTCAGTGGGGATCCTTGCATTTGGCTGTAACGGACTTTTACCATATCATTTGAAAATCAAGCATGGAAAGGGTTAGCAGTGTAAACTTAAAAACAAGCAAACTAATGGGATTTAGCACTTAGGTATTAAACTAACCAAGACACTAAATCTTTAATTTATATTATTATAGTCTACACAACAGCCTTTTTAGGTGAAAAAAAAATCAATGCGCATGTTACGTATTAGCATTTCCCTAAGGAGTTATTTTCTTTCCTTGCAGTTTTCTTCCACCTGCCTTCCACCTTTTTTCCTAAATAAATAGAAGGAAGAAATGCAAAATCATTCCTTAAAATGGCTTTTTCTTCAGGAAATTGTTTGTTTCCTCTTTGGCTATGCATATGTAGTGAACAGCCCCCTCTTGCTCGTTGTAGATAACTCAGAATTTGTGCCTCTGAAGTGCTCAGCAGGTATTTTAGTGTCAAGAAAGTAGGCAGATTTTCAGAAAGGCTGGGAATTTGGGGTGCTGAATTCCCTTGAAAATCTGTTTAGTGTTTCTACAAAAGCATTTATAGCCTCAACTGAAGCTGAGCTTATATTTTGAGCTCTTGCCAATTGCTTGAATGGAACCATTGAAAACTCATTTTCTAAATTACCTCTTTTAAAGACTGCCCAAACCAATAGGAATTTTATCTCCTTTGTTGATTTATTTAAAAGGAACTTAAAGAGTCTAACTCTGGTGTTCAAAGGTAGTCATTAAACACAAAATAAGCAGTGGATTGAAGAGGTTAGAAATACAGTTAATTACTAATGATTGCTGGGATTAGGATATGGTAAACCATGGGAGACTTCCAGCCTGCCTCCTATTCGAAGCCTGCCCTTGCCTTAGAGGAAACAGGAACAGATTATCTCCAAAACACTGTCCACATGAGGGTAAAACGCAGTCTCCTGGGAACCAGCTGTACATCAGTTATTTATTTGTTTCATCTGGGCTAACATTCTTGATTATTGTAGCATGTACTTCAGACTTTCTCAAAAAGAGGAAATTTCAAGATGACTCATATGTTGTGATTTTGGTACTACAGGCTCTTCCCCTGCTCCAGTGTGGGGTCCCTCCCACGGGAGACAGTCCTCCACGAACTTCTCCAACCCGAGTCCCTCCCACGGGCTGCAGCTCCAGCCCACTGGGGCCACAAGTCCTGCTAGCAATTCTGCTCCAGGCTCCTGCTAGGAGCCTACGGCAGCACAAGCCTCCCAAAAGGTCACAGCCTCCTTTCAGGCATCCATCTGCTCCAGCGTGGAGTCCTCCAGGGGCTGCAGGTGGACCTCTCCTTCACCATGAGCTTCCCTGGGCTGCAGGGGCACAGCTGTCTCACCATGATCTGCACCATGGGCTGTAGGGGAATCTCTGCTCCGTTGCCCAAGCACCTCCTTCCCCTCCTTCTTTGCTGACCTTGGGGTCTTCAGGGCTGTTTCTGTCACATATTCTCACTTCTCTCTCCGTCTGCAGTTGCTGTTGTGCGCTGTTTTCCCCCCCCCTTCCTAACTATGTTATCCCAGCTACACCTTCCCCAATGTACTCAGCCACGCTCAGCGGCGGGTCGGTCTCGGAACCGGCTGTGGCGCCGCGTCACAAGCCCCCTCTGTGATGTCTCGGCGCGCTCCACGGCTGCTGTCCCGTCGCCAGACCCTTCCTGGCTGTCATTGCTGACTCCGCCGCGACGGGATCAGCAGCGCTTCTCTGGCTTGGACCGTTGGGGGCTGCGAAGTGCAGCTGCCACTCGGATCTCGCCTCTTGGATCGCCCATCCTCTCCCCACACCCGCTCCCCCTCCCCACCAGGGACTCGGCAGAGTCCACCGAGCACCTCCTGTGTCTGCTGAACCCAGGCCGAGGCCGCCGAACCCCGAGAGATGGCCTGGGTTGACCTGCACAGCGCGGCTGCCCGCGGCGACCTGGACCAGCTGCGGCGGCACTGGTGGCTGAAAAAGTTCCTCATCAACAGGCGCAATGCGGACAAGCAGTAAGGACAAACAGCAATGCCTCCACCTTTTGCAAAATGTGGAATTTGTCAAAATTATCTAAAGTCAGGGTGGTTTTTTGATGGATGTACTTTGTGTACTTTCAAGCCTAAGCAGCAACAAAGGATACAATCAGTGGAACAGACAGCATCTAGCATCCCTTAGTATTATTTATTTTATTTATTTTGTTTTAATTATTACTCTATTTTAATTTAATTGTTATTAAAGGTTTTACTTTTGATTCTCCTCCCTGTTTCACTGGGCTTAATTGCCAGCTGGGCTTAAACCAGGACAATTGTGTATGTTTAATTTCTAGGACACCTCTGCATCTTGCTTGCATAAATGGCCATGCAGATGTTGTTCGGTTTCTAGTAGGCAAGAATTGCAAGCTTAATCCTCGTGACAAATATAAGAAATCACCATTGATACAGGTATATGAAAAGGGCATATGTTGTCTTATCATTGAAGATGCTCCAACTTTCCAGTGTTGGGAAGATGCAGGAGTTCTGACAGAGAAAAATGTACATGTTTGAAATTATTCCTCCTTTGTGTCTTGTTTCCAGGCAGTACAGCACCAGCACAGAGATTGTGTGGCTTTTCTGCTGGAGCATGGTGCCAACCACGACCACAGAGCTGCTACTGGTAACACCGCCCTTCACTTTGCTGTGCTGGTGTCTAGCAAATCTCTAGTGGAGCTGTTACTTGAGCATGGTGCAGATATTGATGCTAAGAATGAAGTAAGCTTGGACTTTCAGTAAAGCTCCTCTTCCCAAGTCAACTTGCTTGACTTTTCTCTGTTATTTTAAGAGAGATGATTTTTCCTTTCAGCTGGGATACACTCCACTTACTCTTGCGATTACTGAGCGTTGTAAAGGGATGATCGAGTTCCTTCTTCAAAAAGGAGCTGATGTGAATGCTACAGATAATCATAAAAGGTGAAGCATTTGGTAAAAGCATGTGTGGGACTCCTTAGCATTGTTCAAGTTGGATTGATGGGAGGCATAAGAATGAGCTTTGAAAAAGGGCCAGGAACCACCCAGAAGGAGCTCCTTCAGCGTGACTTGTGAAAGCAGACCTGCGCTCCGCTGCTTGCTTACTTCAGGGGACGATTTCCACACTGAGGACTGCAAGAAAGCATTGTCTGTGGTCCCACACACACACGTGCACGCGCAGGCACACACACGCAACCTGAGTCTGCTCTGGGTGGGTGGCTGGCATGGAGACCTCCTGAGGTCCCACCAACCTGAATTCTCCAACACTTCCAGGTGTTTTACTGTGCTTTCATTCTGCCAGTAGGAGAGGGGAAATGAATTGTCTGAGAAGCAAAGAGGGATTAAAGTAATGGTACGCAATGCCTGCAAAAGCAGATGTATTTACTCTTATCTCCTGGATGCCCTAGGACCCCCATGGAAGTTGCTGCTGTTCTTAAGGATAAGGATACAGTAGAAGTTCTTCTTCGCAATGGCGGTGTTATGAATAAAGGATGCACCGGAGAGTATGCAGCTCGAGCTTTTGACAAACTATTTCGAGATGAGTTGTAAGTGTTTTACATCCTTGTTAGAGCAACTGCATTCTCAGAATGTCCGTGCTGATGTACAGCCCTTTTTGGTAACAGCAGCAGGGTTAAATGAGGTGCTGAGAGCTTGATCGAAGCTGAGCTCTTCTGACGTGACACATTCTGATGCGTCTCTTTCCATGTAAAGGGTAGATTTGGAAATGGAGGAAAACATCCCCCCTCCCCACCAAACCCAGTTCTCTTTGAGAATGCACCTGTGTGCTTCCAAGTTCCATTCTACTCCCTAGCAGCAACTACCTGCCTTTTATTTCAGAGGGGATCTAACTGATATCCCCTGATTAAAACTCTTCAGTGCTTTTCCTCTTCCTGTGGATAGCTTTGCACCTCTGCCCATTCATTGGCTAAGGTGGCTATGTGTGCTTAA